TGAGGTCTTGAAAAGTATAAATGACTTGTTATGCCGCCGTCTCCATTTCAGAGCCATATCAACAGAGGGAGAGAGAAAAATTAACCCGCTTCCCCCAGGGCAAAAAAAAAAAAAAAGGAAAAATAATTTAAGCCTCTAATAAAGATCCCAGCCATGCTGCAAGGAGTCTCCTGGGGAAGACTGGAAAATTGATAGCACCAGAACAAGTTCACAAGGTGCCCTATAAGATCTGTTAGCCAGGAAACCAAGTTGCTAGTCTGCTGGAAGAGTGTTCCTCTAGGCCTGTGGCCCTTTCTCCCAAGGGTGCCCCCTCCCATTAAACATGGGGCAGAAGCCTGGTTGGCACAGCAGAAGGTTGGTACAACAGACCTTGCACTTCAGAGAGGTCTTTTCAACGCTGGGCACCTCCGCATCCACTCTCTTTGGAGCTAGGGGTCACAAGAAGCCTGGCTTTTCAGAGAAGGGCCTGTATGAACCAGTTTCCCTTCCAATCAAGAAATAAAGGAGGTCTGCACACAGGGGGTGATGGGGCTGGATGACTGGACCAGCCCTGCTATTAATTACCTTTTCTATACACAGCTTTCGTGCCTGATTGTCCGGGGCCATATGGTACATTTTACAGCCAACAGTAAATTTCCTTCCCCAATCCTGTTTGCGGTAACAATCTTAATGTTCTTTTAATACACTTTTTGGTGGATGCATTTCCTTTCCTTTTTATGTAAGTAAAGCAGTAGGGTACTTTAAACCTGCCTACTAAAACTCAGTGCAAGCAATGAAATCCAAGCAGGCCAAGTAAAAAAAAAAAACAAACCAGTCACGGTCTCGAATGAAGCTAGGTGAATGAAAACACCACTGGCCAGCACACATCCAGTCTCTGCACATTTCGAAACCACATGAAGAACCATCCGAGCAACCAGGAATAGTCACGTGCGTGCAAGGGCTTTGGAAGGCAAGTCCGGAGACTAAACATTTAAAGAAAAGCAGAGCCATCAGCAGCCTTAGAAGCTAATACCGTGCAGAACTTCAAACCACCCATTCTAGCCTTGCTCGAGTCTCCCCCTAAAAAACAAAGGCCCTTTAGGCCAGCCATTTCATTTGTTAATCAAAAGATGGCCACCCTTTTTTTTATACGTATTTTTAAACATAAATTTAAAAGACTTTAATTGCTTAGATAAGACTAAGCGTTTCCATGTTAAGTCTTACCTTACAGCAGCTTTTAACTGCCAATTTGTTCTCTCATACCACGAGAGGAGAGATTTAGAAGGGAAAGGGCTATTTCAACCTTACTGTAATGCTAAACATACATACAGTTCCCCACTGAATCGCACTTTTGGTGATACTGGTCAAGCAGCCGTAACTAAGGGAAATAAAACATTCCCATGACATTAAAGGTTGGCTAGGATCCACCAAAGAAAGTTGCAGTGGAAGACTGACCTGCAGGGTACTTTGGTAAAGGCCCCTTGACTCCCCCACACTCACGTGACTGACCCTTATCTTATATCTCAGCCCCGTGTACTTCCCACCTGGGTCCCAATCCATGAGCACCCACAGACTTCAAAGGAGCCGAGTGCAGAGACCCACCCATGCACAGTGAATTACAGCATAAGGACCAGGACATTTGAACTATTATCAGTCCTGCTGATAGAGCCATGCAGGATGTAATGACTTTGCGCAAGAGGGTCAAAGAGCAGTAGACAAGCTTAATTCAGAACTTCCTTAACTGTGTTACTATAAATTGTGTTTAATTACTTCCTTTCTCCTTTACCCTCATGATCAGATCAGCAGCCTCAGTGTCAAAGCTGACACCTGGCCCTCCAACTTCTAGACCAAGTTTTACTTGGATAGCATTTGAAACTACTAAATCAGTGGGGGGCAATCTTTTTGACAGGTATGCCTCAAATTAAGCCCAATCTGCTGCTCTGCCTTCTGCTCCATGCCCGGTGCTCCCTGCCTGACCTGTTGCTCTTCTTTCTGCTCCCTGCCTTACCTGTGATACCCGTAGCCTTCCTGATCTGCCACATACCACACTCAGAGGCTGCCTATCCCATTTGTGGCACATGTGCCATGGGTTGGCCACCCCGTACTAAATTATTAACCCTTCAAAAGAGGATTATAACATAGACTTGATAATAGAAGAGCAACAGTAAATGACTGGACACTAAGAAAGAAAAAAAGCCAGCTGTGTATACTGTTAACATAAGAAGTCCACAATCACAACAAAAGCCAGGAAAGTTCAGATATCAGAAATCCACAGTGACTTTCACTTTACTCCTTGGCTTGTATGTTTTAAAGCAGGGAAGTGTTACAGAGAAGTGTCAAACTAAAATGTGCTGGCTTGTTCTGGAAGTGACAAGGAACCTGTACAGCCTTGAAGGCTTTAAGCAGGGGGTGCATGATCACCGAAGCTGCTACCCTCTGCTTTCTGCTCCGTGCTCCCTGCCCATGTCCTATAGAAAGGGAGCTTTCCTTCCATAGCTATAAGATATGGAAGGCATGTGTATTCTGGGCATACCACCTTTGTCTGCACTAGGCTGCTGATCTGTTAACTAGTATGCACCTTCCAAAACTTGCTGTAGATGAGGTCTGTGTCTCTTTTCCCCTCCAGCTGTTTGGTGGATCAGCAGCAAGTGAAAGTAAAAAGCAGACCTCCCTTCCTCCTACAGCTTCACCACAACTTCAGTGCCTATAGCTAGCATTCTTCTGGAAAAAAATAAATCCTAATCAAAGCAAGGAGCAGAGCAGCAATATCCTAAACCCAGAGAGGCTACAGACAGAAGCAAAAACACCACTTTCCAAAAGCAGAAATTGCTATGGCCCAGAACCTCAAAGACTTTGGTACCTAAGCCCCATTGAAATCCATGGGCGTTCAGTACCTAAGGTTTGTGGATCTAGGCCCACTTCCCACTGCCCAAATCTAGCACGCTCTCTTGATACCATGATTATCCAAGGACACTTGAGACTCCCCAGTTCATCACCTTTCATCCAAACATGATCTGAGAATTGTTGCAACAGGGATTTTGGCATTCTTTGACAGCAGTTATAAATAGGAGTTTTACTTGGTTTGGGTTTCAACTACCTGGGAATGCACATTTTTTTCCAACTATTTGAGTTGGTCTAATAAAAGATATCAGATTTACTCAAAGGACCTTGTCTGCCTATCTTATTCTGAGAGCTTTCAGGACAGCTGAGGTCAACAGATGCATTCCCACTAACAGTCTCTAGATATGGTCGTACAGGTACGCGCAAACTGGTCTGAGGTACCCTTCAAAGCTCAAGCATTTACCTGGGCCTTTATTGGAGGTGTGCAGTGGTGTATACATATACTCTGCTATAGGGAGGAATATCATATTTAGTTAAAGATTTGCCATGGTGATTACAGAGAGACCAGTTCTGTGACCTTTACCTCGTGTTAACAGCATGGCATTTATTTGGTTGGGTAAGTGTTCCCCAGCATTGCCGAATGAAGCCTATACTGTTTATATCTGTACAAATCCTTATAGGCAGAGACTGGTCACTTGTTCTTTTTCACTGAAGAAAATAAACTGATGCATTGTTTTAAAAAGCTACATATGTGCATCTAACATCACTGAATGCAAAAAAATTAATGCATTCCACACTCATTCGTGCTTTTACAGAAGCAGTATAGAAAAAAATACCACATCTGAGATCTGCAAGCAATAACCAAGTGCATTACAGCTGTGTCAGGGTGTTTGCTGCGGCATCTCATTCTGCACAAGTCCAGAACAGGATTTTCATTCATTTATATTTTAATTTCCCAGCCAAACTTCTGCCAACACAGCATGTTTTCCTTTTTCAGGGCAACGCATGTGATGAAGCTTTAAGTTAGTTGCAGCTTCTTTAAAACAATCAAACTGCCACATAAAAAGCCTCAGGAGGGGGAGGGGGGACAAAACCAAACCTGACTGATGCTGTAAAGAATAGGAAATGCTTTTTTTTTTTCTAAACTTTCTTTTTCCCAAGCTCATCAGGAAGCGGCTCTGGATGGGATCCTGCTCTTGAAATCTTCCAAGCACAGCAATTGCACGGCTTCTCTTGGCAGCCTGCGCCAACGCCTGACCACCCTCAGAGTCAGGAACACCCCCTGCTTTCCAACCTCAACTTCCCCTGCTGCAACTTGGGTCCATCGCTCCTCGCCCCGTCTCCTCCAGTCACGGAGAAAAACCTGTCTCCATCCTCTGTGTCATCGCTCTTCAGGCATCAGAAGGCTAGTCAAGCCCCTGCAACCCAAACTCTTTCAGCCTTTCCCAGTCCCATGCAGGATGGCCCAAAACACCACCCCGTGCACAAGAAATGCCCCCCAAACCCTCCCCCCCAAGCAAACACCCTGGCACAAAATGATTCACCAGCAACCACCCTAGCACAAAATGTCCACCCCCAACCCAACACCCTGGCACAAAGTGATGCCCCAGCAAACACCCTGGCACAAAATACCCCTCCCCAGCAAACACCCTGGCACAAAATGTTCGCCCAGCAAACACCCTGGCACAAAATACCCCTCCCCAGCAAACACCCTGGCACAAAATACCCCTCCCCAGCAAACACCCTGGCACAAAATGTCCCCCCCTCAGCAAACACCCTGGCACCAAATGCCCCCCGCAACAAACACCCTGGCACTAAATGCCCCTCCCCAGCAAACACCCTGGCAATAATGATTCAACAGCAACCACCCTGGCACAAAATGTCCACCCCCAACCCAACACCCTGGCACAAAGTGATGCCCCAGCAACCACCCTGGCACAAAATGATTCGCCAGTAAACACCCTGGCACAAAATGTCCCCCCCCAACAAACACCCTGGCACTAAATGTCCACCCTCAACCCAACACCCTGGCATAAAATGATTCACCAGCAACCACCCTGGCACTAAATGTCCCCGTCCCCCCACAGAGACGCTGACACTAAGCGATGGCAGCACGCAGGAGGGAAGCCCCTGCCCTGCCCCTGGGCCCACCCCGCGCTCGGGGGCAGCGCCGCACTCACAGCGTGTGCCCGCAGACATTGACCATGAGCTTGAGGGACGGGTTGCGGTATTTGGTGGTCTTGCAGCGCGGGCAGCCCTGGTCGTCCATGCCGCCGCCG